CCTCACGTTGTTCTAGCTCAATCCCAACTTATCCTAACATGAAACCCTCGATATTTCTGTTATGCTGAATAACACATAATGTTACACTGAATGACACATAAGATCATAAAAGTGAATGTAACCCCCTCTCTCCTCCAAACGCAGCATAATCTGGTTACTACACCTGCAGAAAACTCCATCCAGCACATACATACCTTTTCATTCAAACAGTTTATCAAGTTTTCTACATATGTTTTCATAGCGCGATAGAATTTGTAATTCTGGGATGCATTTGAAGACTTCTCTAATTCCTGGACAGACATCTTTGAACTTTCAACATCCTCCATATATTTTTCATACTCCCTCTGGTGGGCACGGTGCACATCCTGCAATGACGTTATCCTAGAAGACAAAAATTCAAACAACTAAGCTTCTGCCAAGTTAATAAATCCCACATTTTCTTAATCAAAATCATGGATGCAATTTGCCTTTGCTAACAATAGCATTTATACTATCAAGAGTTGGCATATTTAACCATGCCAACATTTTCAGAAGTATGGGGAATGGAAACACACTGTGTTTTCCAGACTCAAATTCTTATGCGGCATTAGCACTGGAAGAACCACTAACATTTTACCCAAGCTCCAAGTGACTGCATTATTTGATGAAGCCTGAAGCCTTTAACAGAATCAAGAAGCAGACCACAACTTGCTTCATTTGCTTTAAATAGAGAGTTTTCAATGAAAATAGCTCAACTAAGACATTATTCATGACATGACACGTCGGCAAAAAATTCTCTACCACAGCAGAAGTCAAAATATATAAATATTTCATCAAGTTAAACGTGTCTACAGAGTTTGCTATTGTCAAGTAGGTTCCCCTCTCCTTCTTACTGCTTTCCAAATAGGTATTATTCTACTCTAAGGAATATTCATAGTCTTAGTCTCACTTTTCACATTTGTTTCTCTATATAATTTCCTACTTCATTTAACTCATTCCCTTCAGCCAATGATGGCGAAAAATTCCACAAAAATATTTAGTCCATTTTAGTTCTACTTTTTCAAATGAGCAGGGTAAGGGTATTTTGTACAAAGTAAAGCATCCATTGAGCTCTCTCTGTGTAAGCCCACTGCCAAGCATTTGTTTCAGCTGGGTAAGGTTACATGTCTAAACTTATCTCAACAGCTGCTTCTTATCACTGAGAGGGGACAGCTTACCTTGGGATGCCTGACCCCAGCTGTCCTTCTCACATACCCTCTTGGAGGTTCATCCAAAAAAAAAAAATCAAAGAAGGATCTAGTTTGCCTAAATAGGCCACAGTGAATCCACTGCTGCTTTGGGGAAAGCTGAGATATTTTTGCAGCTGGAATAAGAAGCACCAAAAGAGACCTAGAATTACCAACTGTGAGACAGAACTTGCTTAGCTGTCCTAGTTGAAGTTTTGTTTGCTTGGCAAGCATAATGTTGTGCCTACACTCCTTTCGCAACACTAGCAAGAATAGAAAGGTGCTGCCATTTAAATGAAAACAGGGCTAACTGACAGAACATGAGAAATCCAAATCCTCCTTAAACAAAGCCATAAGAACTTTTTTCTTCTTCTTCATGCAAACACCATTAATGTGCCACTGCCAGGTAAAACTCCAAACTTGTATTACTCTGTAGTACCAGAGTACTCTGTAGTACTGGACATCATAGTAAGAATGCTGAATATGAAATTACTGCCCTAAGATTTCCAATGTTGGGGGGGGGGCAGGGGAAGGACTCAATCTATCATTTCTATCACAAATACAAACTTGGACAACTCGAAAAATATTTTCATATATTCAGTATTTACCTTTCAGTCAGTCGCTTCTTTACAATATCCAAGGTCACAGGTGGCAGAGAAACAGAAGGGTCAAACTTAGGTTTTGCTGGTTTAGATTTATGCAGAGAAGCACCATCATAGAGATCCTACAAGAACCAAGCCTGTTAAACTTCTAATACATCATTTTTACTTTTGCAGCCATCAACAAGACATATCATCTGAATATAAGGCATATAATAAAATATACATTCCATGATTACATTAGATAATTTTTTATGCAACACAAGAGCAAAAAGCATCTGCATAAATACATATATATAAAGAGCACTAAATAGTTCATAATTTAGGTTATACTTAACACATCTTCCTCTTCTTGGCCTGAAAGCTTTCATAGCTAGCAGGGACATATAACCCTTTTCTACAGATAACTATGACCTTCTTAGTACTTAATTTAAAATATAAGCAGCCAAGTCGCAGTAGCAATAGTAGTACAGTAATCGCATTTTCTAATAGATCATAATACATACTGTAAAGAAACCATCTAGCATTTAATTCTGATTAAATAGTTAAACTAAAACAAAAAAAAATTCAACCAATTATAACTCAAAAATCCCCCCAAACATTCTACATTCTAGAACAGATCAGTAATAAGTTAAAATCTTGCCAGAAAACACTCATATGAATCAATCAAGGCCATAACTAACAAGGTCTCCTACTAAAAAAATATTTCCTGAATAGGAAAAAACAGCTTTCAAAAAACAGATTCAAGTGCAGCATGAGGATCCTCAACTAGCTGAAAATCCAATCATACTGGATTTTAAGTTCAGCAACAAGATGACGCAACTTTCTCCCAGTTCTCTACTCCAGTTTTACAGGATGTAATTTCCTCAGTGATCCACTACACTCAAAAGAACTGGTTAGGAAGATTTTCCCAGTTTGGTATGACAAAATTCTGCAGAACCCTAAGAAAGGACCCTCAGAGACTGTTCCTCAGGGACTCAGTATAATAAAATCATTAGTTTTGTTTTGCAATGTTAGGTGTGTAGTATATGCATCTTTTTACTTTCCAGATCCCTTGCATGGCTGTGAAAGTCAACTAAAGTTTTATTCTCCATTTTCTGCAGAGAATCTTCCTTTGAGGTAGACAATGCCATCTTACCTCTAAATAGCTAGAGGAAAATTACAGATTTTCAGTATCACCTTCCCTTTTTCTAACCTCTCTTCCTGCAAGAGTCAGCACAAATTCCTTAAAACCTCTCCAAGTAGAAGGCAGAAGATATGGTGGCACACTAGAACAGACTCTCTTGCCTAACGGCAAAAAGCAGTTTGGAATTGTTAGGAAAGATCACCTGAGATAGTTTGACAGCTTTCTTTATTTGCTGCTCTTCCCACTTGATTTGCATTTCATCTTCACTCAATCCATCATCCTCAGACACTGGTAAGTTTAAAAAAAAAAAATCATTACCACCTGTAACTGTATCTTATTTTCCCCTCCCATACTCTCCTCCCTCCAAAGCAAGGATGTTTCCTGTGGCCATTACTGGGAAGCACTAAGCACACAGAAAGAAAAGGATTTGAAACTACAGATGAAAGATTCCCAAACTGAAAGGTAAGGAACATACCAGGAAATAGCTTTTGGAGTTCCTAAAATTGGCACCAATATTGAGTTCCCCAACATACTGGTTCTCAGACAACTACTACTGCAGTACCAATAAACAAGATCTTTTTACTTCCACTAAAAGTATTTCATTTCTCAATGTTTCATGTAATATGTATAAATAAAAGTACAGTTGGACACAAGTAACAGTTCTGTTGCCCAGAAACATCTTTTTAAGAACATCTGTTCATGAAGGGAGAGTACTGAGATGACTGAACATGAAGTAGCAGGAGACAGAATTTACAAAGCTTTCTGAAAGCGGACACTGTCTTCTATCACAGAAACTTTTTGCACATTACATGCTTCTCTACAAGAGAGGCTACTTGCAGCCAACACCACCAAAAAGTCACATGAAGTTCTCAAATCACCCAGTATCCCAGCATGAGTGAGACCTAAACCATGCTCAGCTTGGGCATAAACCTTGAGCACCTTCTGCCAAGATCCCTGAGGTGCAAGAGATTATGGTGCACTCTTCACTGGCACCATTCTTGAAAGTATCATTAAAACAAAGCCACAAACAGTGACAAATGACAAACTCACCTATGTGTTCAGCCATCCTCTGCCTAAGAGTTCTTGCTTTAGGAGCAAAATTGAGATGCTGTATATCAGCGTCATCTTCACTCTCTAAATCAGAGCTTGCTCTTCTCCGAGACACATGATCGTTGTTCAAAACATCCAAGGGCAGATAATCAGCTTGGGTCCTGGCTAAGTGACGCTTCCTTCGAGCGGCCTCAATGCTACCTGCATCGGGAATGTTGCCTGGATCAAAGAGAGGAGGAAAAAAAAAAAAAGAAAAAAAAATGTCTAGGCAAAAGATGAAAAGCAACACGCAGACATTGCTCCTAATGACAACAATCACTATAACTCAGGCTCATTGTATAATTCTGAGCATGGGACACTCCACAATCTTTTTCTATGAAATGCAAAATAACTTTAGCAACTCAAAGAAGTGACTCCGCCTTTAATGCCTTTTTCTTTAACCACTTCTGTAGCTGAGTCTTCCCTAGCAGAGACATTCTTCCCCTTATCCCCAATTTTTCCCCTTATCCCCAATTTTTCCCCTTATCCCCAATTTTGTTCTCTTAAATGCCGTGCTTGCTTTTACTTTATTTTATGCAGTTATTCCAAATTACATGGTTAGTGAAGAATATTATGCTTGATAATATTTAGAATTTTCTTAATTATGTGAAGGAAATTCATCTCTACATTTAGCCACTTACTAGCCAGTAATCTAAACAATTTTTATAATCAATCTCAAAAAAAAAAAAAAAAAAAAAAAAAAAAAACCACACACACTGGGGGATTCAACTTATCCTTATAGGAATGTAAAAACAAATACAAGGAAACGCTCCTTTGGGGTGAAACTGCAACTCTTCTTTCAGAAGAGGAGCAGCCTTTACATGATTAAAGTTGAGTGGGTTTCACCTGAACTATCTTTTGCATTTCAAATGAAACAAGTTGTACAACTGCTTTTTAAAAGAAGTAACCCCCAGAAACAAACCTGCTGATAAATCCTTCCTTCTCTCTGAAGGGCTGGATTCAGTTTCCGAGTCTGAGCTGTTGTTGTCCTCGCTAAGGGAAGAATGAGTCTCATCTTCCTCCTCTTCTTCACGAGGAACTTCAGAGTTATCAGCTTCTGCACAAAGGGAGAGAGAGACATGATTTCCACATCAGCTGCCATAAGCCAATATATCAAAACTGGTTATTAGTAACTACCTAGACCATGATGCAAAGACTAGTCTACCTCTACCTGCCCTAATTAAAACACACTAAGTCTTCCTACATTTCGAGCTGGTTATTTACAAGCCAGGAACGTGCGTTCGATATAAACTTATACGACCTTCTGAGAGACAAGACACATCCACAAGCACAAAAACAGCTACACAAGCTACCAGATGACAACTAACACTGACAGCTCACAGTCTGTTTGGCTCATCTCTTGACTTTGTGAATTGTATTTAGAAGAGATTTTTAATAAGAAGTCTTCTTTCCAAGTGTAATCTGCTTGTTAGCGCTTTATCTGTACTTGTCTCAAATTACCTTAAAAAGCTTTTTTTTTTTTGAAAAAAAAAAAGTATTTTTGTCTACTACTACATCTTTAATAAGACATCAGCTTACTAAAGACAATGTGGTACCCACTGAAACAAGATTGGGGAAATGGATGGCGTAGGAAGACAACAAGTAGTTTATATATAACATACACACACATGTACACACACACACAGACACATAAACATATCTCATTCAAATCACAGTATTTTACAGAAGTTATTTCCAACCTCAAGATAATTTACTTTTATCTCACAGTAGCATTAGGACACATCTGTGAATTAACAAGGTGTCAGCAGAGTAAATACAGCAGGAAAAAAAAAGGGCTTTTTAAATATATTTGTAAAACACACAAACTTCAAAATAACCCACTGGAAAGTATACTATAGTTCAATTAGATTGCTGACTGAATTATCAAAGCCATAGATTTTTTTACAATTAAAAAACATAAATACTGTAATAGCAAACACTTTAACAAGAAGATGTTATATTATAAGAAGTGCATACTACTCCATGCACTTTCTTTTCATGGTGCAATTAACACATAAAAGACACCTAACAACAGTAGTTGTAAATCGTTCCCATTTAATAATTTCAAAATATAGTTTTCATGTAACCAATCGAGAAAACTCCTTTTAATTGTCATACTTACTTTTGCTCTCCTCAACTTCTCTCTGTGGAGACGGTAGACTTTCCTTCTTTTGGATTCTGAAAGTCACTTCTTTGAAGGACGGCTTTTTAATTTTAAAGAGCTCTTCATCATCTATCCGGATTGAAGAAAAATGTTTTGCGTTAACTTATTTATAAAGCAAAGCTACACAACTCAGCGACTTAATTTTCTTTCTGTATTTATATACAGTTTTACCGTTGTTCTCAAACCGAGAACAACTTGATTAACCGTCCCACCCCTCCCCTCCTTAAAGGCCGCTGGGGCCTGAGGGCAGAGGCCGCTGACATATGCCTGGTGGGCTCCCAGGGAAGGTGCCCGCTCCCGCCTCACCTTCCCGCTCCTCCTCCCCGCAGCCGAGCCACGCCCCT